CCTTGTCTCAGGCATGACATCTGTGTTCCTTCTCCACAGGTTCTGGTTCCAGTGGAAACTCCCTATGGTTCCTGTGCTTGCACGCTTGGCAGAAAGAAGTACTTAGAAGCACAAAGCCACATGATAAAAGATGAGAAGGAAAGTCAGTTTGGACTGGTAGCTGCTCAGGGAAAGTAAACCTCTTGGCTTCCCGTGTACATTCCTGATAAACTTGCAGTATGGCTTTCCTATCAGCATATACTTACTACTGGCTTCTTTCATATTGACTGCTTTCCACTCTGTGAACTCCTAGATTGGGATTTCTAAATGAGCCTCAGAAATTCAGATATCAGAGTATCTCCCTGGAACTCAGTGTGATTTGCAGACTGAAATCCCAGCTGGAAACATTATAGTTTTTATAGTTTTTAAATCAGCTATTTCCAGACTTAATGAATTTGATGATCTTTAACACGTTTTTGACGCACAAAATAAGCAACTATGAATATTATCTATTCATATTCCTTCAGTAAAATGAATATACAGGCACAATACCAGATATTTCACTGATGTAACCTGTGCCAACCCCTTCATGCCACACTGATCTAGAGAGTTGAAGTTCTGACCCGACAACTGAGTGAGGAATCAGTCAGACACTGATTTCTTTGTGAAGGAAATAACAAAAAAATAAAAATCTAACATATCTTCTGTACAGCATGACTAGTTACAGCTGTTTACTAATTTCTCTGCATGCATTTTGATTGCATGGCTGCTGCTGCTCTTCATCAGAATATACAGTTACTTTATAATTACTTTTATATTAATCATTGAGGTGTTTGAGGATTTGGGCTATCTCTGTAATTTTAATTAAATAGCTTTCTTTGGTCTAATAATCTCACCATGACTTCAGAGCAGGCAGAAATCAACCTAAGTAACCCTATTATTCTTAGGAAGAGGCAGAAATACAGGATGCATTGAGATAAAATTACAGAACCAGCAATTCTCATCTCAGAAACGGCAGCTACCACATTTGCAATAGAAATCCTGCTCAACTTCTAACAGCTTCTAACCACTGCTTTCATTTTCTCCAAGTTTTACTGTCACAGAATTCCATGTGACAGAGACAGCAAATCCAATTGGAAGTGCCCTAAGTTATGTCTGAAAACTGCAAATTGGTTGCCTTCGTGCCTCCTCAGCATTTCTCTGAGTATAGAGGGTAAGCTCAGAAATACTGAAAAAGAACATGTCCTGCACCATACTCCATGACAGGAACTTGCCTTGGTGAACAAGATTAACAGTTGTAAAGGGAAGGCACTGTTCACAATCCTGAGACAACACCTCAGAAACAACAGAACAAATGACACCACAGAGTGAATCTGCCCCAGATCTGCTGTTCTTTGGTCACTTGTTGATTCTGAAAGCTCCATTAGTGACACTGATAGGTTTTGCTGGGCATGTGCATTCTTACCTTGTTCGACTTGATTTGTATTGTACTTGTGGGCTTGGGCTTATGTCTTGCTACATCTTCTATATTTAGGTGCTTATAATTTATTAATTTATCTTTCAAGGGCAAATAAAGAGCAATATCAAAAACCAAACAAGTCAGTACTTGACTCTTTGTGAAATAAGAAATAAAACAATTTCTTACTTGCATATACATATAAACATCGTATGGAATGATATTTTAGTTCAGATAATTTTACCTCAAAAATTGATCAGCATTGCTTCAAATGACAGTTCACTACCAATTGATAAAAACAAAAGGAAAAAAGGCTCATATTGCACATCTCAATCTTTAGCCCTTTTTAAGCAAAGCAGATCATTTATTCTGCTCTTCACTACCAACTTTCTTTCTACCTGGTGAGAAATGACTTGCACTAAGTGGAAGGTTGTTTGTCATTACTATTAGTGCTTCATCTGTGGGCTTACAAAGTAGTAATGGATTAAACTTCATGGCAGAACAAGGATGCAAAGAAGCAACTTGTTGTTGATTTAAATCATTCTGTAGCTAAAAGCACACGTACACTCTTGTAATGTGGCTTCTATAGACCTCCACACACACGGACACTCAGCAGTCCTTACAGACATCTCAGCGTAGCCCCATCCAGCACTGCAAAACCTGAGTCATGCATGTGAACATATTCCTTCCAATATAAGTATTTAGACAATAGGAAGCAGCCCAAATCTTCTATATGACAACTAGAATCAGATCACAGTGGGATAAATAATTCCTGAAAATGGGACTTAGCCACATTATTTGGGCTCAATCCCTGACCAAATTCCTTTTTATCTTCAGAGAATCGCCAAGGTTGGAAGGAACCTCCAACCCCCCTGTCACATGCAGGGCCACCAACCTCCCCATTTAATACCAGACCAGGCTGCCCAGGGCCCCATTCAATCTGGCCTTGAACACTTCTAGGAATGGAGCACCCACAGCCTCTATGGGCAGCCTGTTCCAGCACCTCACCACTCATAGTAAAGAACTTCCCCCTGACACCCAACCTAAATCTTCCATCCCTCAACTTACAACCATTTCCCCTTTCAACTTAAAACCATTTCTACCTTCTTTAGATTTGGTCTCCATGATGGAGGGCAAATAGGAGGATCTTGGCTGCAGTATGTCTCCCTGTTCCTGTGCTGACTGGCAGCAGGGCAGGGGATTTGACCGTTGCTTTGCTCCTTCATGCTGCCTCCAGGAGATGGAGGAGTCTCTAAATTACCCATTCAGTGTGATAGCAGGGAGACCTGCAGCACTGAGACTACTGTCACTCTCAACCCCGTATCAGCTGAGCAATCAGACACTGGGCACCCAAAACACAAAGTTGGCTTTTAACCAAGACCCCTGCATAGCTTTGCCACTATTAGAACCACAGTTCTGACATGGTATCCAGTACTGCCCATCAGTTGCTTTCCCATCTCAACCACAGCTGTGTTTTCTGGAAGACAAATGGTAGCTAAAAATAATCTGGCTTTTACTTCCTCTTTCTGACTATACAGTCTTTTTAAAAAATATTTTACCTTTCTCTTACAGAAACAGCAACGAATATGTAATGGACAAAATCAAGAGTCACCTACACAACGAAAATCAAAGAATCGCAGGGATTGGAAAGGGTCTCTGGAAATCATCTAGCACAACCCCCTGGTTCCTAGCACAGACTGTAGAGGCAAGTGTCAGGAGGGTTCTGAATATCTCCAGAGAAGGAGACTCCACAACCTCTGTGGGCAGCATTAGAAAGCTCAGAGAGCAGTAGGAAACCACAGTAAAGATCAGGAAAAGAAATGGTTATAGTTCAGAATAACATACTCCAAACTCCCTTCCATGCTTGCACTGAGCTTTCTGTAAGATCTCTACTTGCATGAACCAGTTCACAGTATTGATCAAGAGAAGAATACAATCTGGATGGTTTTTAATGCAATTCACTTGCTCACTAAAACATGTTAAAAGAAAGCACAGTACTCAGTAATCACCATACATACGTCATATTTATTCTCCTTTGCCTTTTCTCTATCTTAGTGAATAGTTTTATCTCAATCCACAAGTTCTTCTTCGTTGTTGCTGTTTTTTTGTTTGTTTGTTTTTTTCAATTCTCTTCCATCCCATTGGGAAGAGAGGAGTGAGCAAATGAGTGTGTGGTGCTTAGCCACTTGCTGGGTTAAACCACAGCAGTCATTAAAACACATTAAAAGAAAGCACAGTACTCAGTAATCACCAAATGAGTCCTCACAGCTGTACAGCAAAAATTTTTACTTCCTGATGGAATTAACATCTTTTAATTTGATATCATCCATAGATCTACCAAAAAAAACCCCAAACCAAACCAAAACATTCAAATGGAGGAAAAGAGAATATTCAGTTCATCCTGTGGTAACATAGCATGGTGTATTCCACTCCAACAATTCTACAAATTCAGGGCAGGTAGGAATCTCCAGACAGCTACAGGCAACTGCTTCACATAATCCTTCCCATAAGTAGATCTAATTCTGTATTAAAATAATTAGAGAAATTTTACGTGTAATTTTTCAGCTGCAGCCTCTGACTGGCCTGATAGTCTGTACCTGAAAATTCCCCAGGGCAGAGATGATTCTCTCTATTTGATTGAAGCCTTCCAGAAGATCTCTATTCCCAGTAGGTATCCCTGGCTGCTACCAAATTATAAACAATAACGTTGTAACAAGAATTCAGACTGTGACCTACAAACCTGCTAACAAACAGATAGCCAAAGAGAACACAGTTCTCTGAGGGAAAGGAAGAGAAACGGTTAATACACCCCAGAATCCTATCACATATCTAAATAAACGTTTTACAGAGTAAAGGTTAGAAGCTATACATGAAAGCATGCTGCTGTATAGTTTGTCATAGCACATGCCATGAGTTTTACCTATAGAGCAGATACATATGTGGCTTTATCCCCTTCCAGATAGCAATACTAGAAATATAAGCAGTTCTCCTACCACTGTAGCATCCACAGCTACCTTGCACTTGGCCAAATCAAAGTGAAGGCAGGACAACTACCTAAGGCAGGAGATTACAGGAGCTTCTCTTTGCTGTCATAGAATGTTGTCCCCATTTGGCTGAAATCACCACACCCCTACTCTCTTCCAATCCCATCACAGCTGCCTCCCAAACCATGTTCAGTTTTTGCACACACTCCCACTTATTTCCTGCTTCCTAGCTCATCTGCTAAGTCTCACTTATGCAACTCCACATCCCATTTTAGAGGTCATCACAAAGCTCTCTGGGCCAGAGAAGATGACAAGTCTGGACAGTGCTAAGCAGTACCTGTATGTTATCTCCCAGGCACTGAGGGATAATTCACTCTGCTGTAGCAGTGCCAGCACAGCACCTCTGAATCACTGACAGCTCTAGAAAAGGGTAAGAGAAGTGCAGATGTTACTGGTGAATGTAACCAATGCTTCAAATTCTCTCCTTCAGCAGTATGTAACACTGGATAAGAAAAAGCAAATATAAAGTCTTTAAATATCTTGGTAGGTGGTGTTAAAAGTAATCACAGGAGCAAAGAATATGCAGAAGGTTTTGGTACTGTTTTAATGGAGAAGTAGGAAAAAAAAAAAAATAAAAAAAAAATCAGGAAATCCAATATAACATAATAAAGAAACAGAAAGTGAAAAGATCTATAAAGTAAACTGAGTTCAAACATAAGCAATGCTTTATTGGGTTATAGCAAGCAACCTATCAAGGAGGGAACTGGTACAAACAGATTGAACAAGACTCTCTCTTTTAACAGAGATGTATGGTGACAAGACAGCTTCTTTTAGTTTTTAAAACAAGTATTCAAACTGTTAAGTAAAGCATTAAAAAAAATAAACCATTACAACACCAATGACAGACAATATTAAAAATGTGCAGGTTTGTTTAACAAATTTCTGCATAATGTTAGAAAACAAGTTATCATAAATTATAAAAGAACGATCTATTTCTTTTGTTTGCAAAGCAACACAAACTTTAAAAACCAACCATACTTTACATAGAGCTACCGTTAAAAACAGGTGAAAACAAGCTGAAAATTTAGAGGACAGCAAAAAATACACAACCCAGTTTCACCTGTCAGCGACACCTTCTGCTATCGAAGGGGTTATGTTAGTTTTATGTACAGCTTTAAACATTGCGGCATACCACAAATAAACCTTAATAAGGTCAAAATAGGACCCTCTGCAAAAAAGGGTGAGTTGGCAAATGTCAGTCCCATCCCAGAATTACAAGTAGTAATAGTTTCAGTAGGTCTTTATTGTACACCAGAAGATACTTCCAACAGTTTATCTCTCCCAAAGATGCACATAAACTTTCTTTTATTTTTCTTCTGTTTGTTTGATTTTTTGGTATTTAAATAATGATATTAAGAACACGCTGGCTCAAAAATGAGAATGACATACCTCCCTTTTGTTCTGGATACAGTGATGTAGCTATTTCAACATGCTCACTGACAAACCCTAAAAGAGAAAATCATTATGCACTATGTGAAAAATACACACCACCTCTCTCAATTCAGACTCAGTATACATTATATTGCCAACTCTATCCAATAGGATAAATATCTAAATTTGGTTTAAATTCTTAATATATTCTCTCTTTACAAAGTTCCATCACATGAAACCAAATTGCTTATTTACTGTTTGAGGCACAACATGACCCCAATTAGACAATTCGCTATAAAGAGTTGTTCTTTAGATGTTGTGTCTGTAGAGGTTTTACGTGATATTCATAGATTTTCAGCGCAGGCCCCAGTTTTAATGAAAGTCCAGTCAGTACATCATTTCTTGTCATCAACAGTAATGATTTGCCATCAATTTCCTATAAGAAGAATTAAAGAATTGATAAAGAAAATGTACAAATCTAATAGCTGAGAACAATCATGCAACAAATGGAAGACTACTACAGAGGATCAGTGAGAAAAGAAATAGCCTTTTATTTTTCTGAAATAATTGTTTGTAGCTGCTAACATCTGCTGTTTGGTTTTTCAAGTGCTCAACTGTGCTGACTAATGCATAAATACTATTTAGTCAAGCAGAAAACCCAAATCAGTCTCATTTCAAAATTCCCTCCTTGTACATCTGTTTGAATTTAATAGGCACACGTACAGCTTGCCTAACTAACAGCCATTAAGCAAAGGACACACTTAGGGAGAAGGCAGTGAAATGTGTTTCAAAATTACCTTTAACAGCAGTGTACAAGATAGGACTAGTCAGCACCTGCTAATAACTTCAGGTGACTGCTTTAAACGGCCCACTTCCCACACATCCTGCAGAGAAAAGGAGTCTCCTGCAATCAGAACTTTCACAAGGATCCAGCTGCAGAGCTCAGCACTCCAAAGGAAATTCCTTCAACTACAGTGGAGAAGGCAGCAACTTCCCAGGCTGAATCTCCACAATGGCTACATTCCACTTTTAAATCATAGGGTTTGCATTCTTTTCTCTCTCTCTTTTTTTTTTTTTTTTTTTGTCCCCTCAAATCTTTGCTTTCTGACCTATTTAGATTAGAAATCCTGCAGGCTTTTTTTTTTCTCCCCCATCTGATAACCTTGTCATATGTTTGCAAAATTAACTGTAGATGATTCTCCATGCATCGAAAAGCAGAAAGAATCCCCATCTCACAACTCCCACCTCAGTTTCAGACACATGACCATTCTTTTATTTGCACCGTCACAGTTCTATCACTGCGCTACCCAAGAAACAAGCTACATCTACAGAGCAGTGCATCGACTGGTGTCTCACAAGTCATCACAGCCCAAAGTCTTTAACATAGGTTGTTCTCTTGCACTGGCTTCACTTTGCTGCATTCTTTTCTACTTTTAATTAAAAAATAAATTTTAATTTGGCATCAATAGCCAACAAGTTCAAATGCCTGCACATACTATTGTCGTCCATTACTCTATATTACCATGATTTTGTGTTTTTATAAATACCATAGATAAATACCACACACAAAACAGTTCCACTGCAGTATCTTTCTTACAAATATTAAATATTGTTTTGGAGATGTTACTGATCATATTTTTTGTTACAATTTAACATGCAAAAATGACAAAGAAGGAACATTAGAGTTCTATCGTAACTTGTCCGAACTGATCTCTCCCATTATGTGATTAAAAATACAAGATTGATGGAAAAAGCATACTATAACCAAATATCCGCTGAAAGTGGAATTTCTTTAAAACCTTACAAAAGATATAACTGCTAATCCCTCCAGAAGAGCACAGTGTAACAGTATTTCTGAAAAAAAATCACATTTCCAATAACTTTTTACCCAAGTATAACAGGTACCTCCTTCCAATTTCTGTTGAGAATGTTAATAGTTAAAAAACAGTTGATATTTTCTTGTTTCCATCTGTCACAATTCTTTTTGTGGAAATTCTGACACCACTGAGTATTTTGCTCATTGATACGACTGATCTGAAGTTGCCTTTTCCACTGCCGTTCAATGACGTTATGGAGTAAGAACAACCTCCAGCTTGGAGGGATCCAGATGAAGAAAATCCAGTACCTGGAACAGGAGAAACTCCATGAATAGGTAGAGATAGTTTATTTCCTTTTCCTTCTTCTTCCACAGGATTCCCCGTGGATTTAAGAAATGCTGGGAAGTAGACCATCTAAGGATTTAATTGAATAGAAGACTGATCCTCTAAGCATACCTGGGTAGGAATGAGTAAATATGTATTAAAATTCCAGTGTGTTACATCTCTATGTCTATTTTATGGTTTACTTCCACCTCTTTTTGTTTTCTTTCCCCTTAAAACTGCTTCCACAGATTTGCTATTGTCATTTCACTTTTTGGCATCAGGTAAGACTTTGGAGACTTCTGTGAAGTTCTTCTCTGCTACTCCACTATTTTCAGGTCATTTTTCAGCTTCAGCTTATTATTCAACTTTAATGCCAGCTTTTGTCATGCCCTTTTAGTGCCATCTAGAGAGGCATCCCTCTGCACATCTAGAGCTAACAGTAGTTCCTCAGCTGCAATAGTCAATTTATCATCTTCAGCAAATCCCCACACGACCAGTCAAGAATCAAGTCTGCTCTTTCTCCAAGTGACTGAGAACTGCAGTGTTCTACATCACAGCTGACAAGGAAGTATACCAGCCAGAATGCTCGCATGCTCCTCCATGCCGTGGATCTGCTAGAAGATGGCAGCAGATACCAGCTAATATCAAACCTGTTTCCCTTCTGGTAAGGCACTGCAGCAAGGACCAGCAAACTATCATTGGATTCCTTAGGCTGAGCTGCATAACACAGTACTAATGGTAAGAAGTTGCGTGGCAGTAGTGAAGGGTCAAGCATTGCACTATCACATCTCAGGACACATCACAAGGAATCCATCTTCGAGCAAGCCAAAGCCCCCTGTGCTCCCAAGGCTCCTAGAGAAATATCAGCCATGTACTTGCAGATAACAGTTCTTTGAAGACATTCACACTCTCACCCACATCTGGTCTGCCACTCTCTTCAGTGATCCTCTGTGCCCAACTTCTTGGCTTGCCTGGAAAAATGTGCTTGATGTTATTGTTTTGGATATTGGGCAACATCTTCCAGTTGAATCTTTTCAGAGAGCTCTTACAGCTTGCTGACATCAATGAAACTCCAAGAAAGAATAATGTATAACCATCATATACTCATCATGCCCTACCAGCACTTACAATACAGTTACTAAAAACATTCTGTAGTCCTTAAAATGTTTTTTCATTTTCCTTTAAAAGTGTAAGAAAAAAATCACATCTTACAAAATCCTTTGAGTCACTTGCGTCATGTGAGTCCAGATTTAGATTCATTAGAGGTGTGGACTTACTGTTACGTAGAAGCTGAACATATTAATATTTCTTGAGATTACATTTTGAACTATGGATGTCTTGCAAGAAAATCGTTGTGCTAACCCTTCTAAAACAGTTCAGCGGAAAACAATTTCTCAGTGTTGTAGGTGAATTGGGATACTTCCCTTCACCACTTACAGCCTCGTTCCCCTTCCAGTACATATCCATGGCAGTAGCAGATCAAACAAATTTCAGATTCTGAGACCCAGACAAGCTGCAGAACAAATGGCATTTAAAACCAGAGATGGCCACAGTTTCAGCTGCACACCTTGTGACTGCCATACCTGGAGAGCCTGTGAGATCCTGATAACAAATACCATAAGTATACAGAGTTAAAATTAGTGTCTTCTAAACAGCGCAGAGGAAACAAAACAACACTGCTGTTAAGAGGATAGAGAAAGAATTGCTCCTGAAGCAGAAGGGAAGGGTCAGTTCTTGCCTGGAGAGCACTCGCTGCTCTCTATGCTGCTAAGGAAATAGAAGTGGAAGGGAGTGGCAATGATTTCCACCTCAAATGTCCATCTCACATCTCCTGGCTATATCTTGGTGGCACCCGTCAGCTTCTCTCCAAAGCTTTAGCATGAAGTGAAGTTAGTAGCAGAACCAAAACCATATTTCTGCCTATGGCAGCTTACTGCCCATCTAACCTAGCAGAGCCTTGGCAATATGTTGCTAAAAATAAGCTTACTGCATCTTTCCTCCTGAAGCCACTTGCCCTCACTGCAGAATACTAACAAAACTTGTACTTGTCAGTTCTACATGCTATTTTCCACCAGGCTGTTGCAAATTGCGTTGCCAGAACTCCTGAGCTAGCCTCACTTTGCTGTTGCAAGATCAGTAGTAATTACTGCAGTACTATTGACAAGCCATCTGGTATTTAGAGAGGTTAAGGCATGTGATGAAAGTCAGAGGTATCTGTCAGAATAAGGAAAAAACCCAGAGGCTGCAATTACTTGGCTTGTGTTTTTCTTATGTCATGTTTCCAGGGTTGTTGAGGAGACATAATTGCTAGTATTAAGGAGTTGATAAACTTAGTCTTTTTTCGTTTGTTTACCCATCTTCAAATTCTCAAAAATTATTAGCAGCTGCAGCAAAAACCTCTCTGCCTTCTGCCAGAAAATTAGCCAGCACCAGGCTTTTCACCTCCCAGAACAAAGAGCTAAATTTAGATACTTCTTTATACTCATCAGTTCCAATCAGATGGGACTTCATAGCCCAGGTGCAGAAGGTCAGCAAGATTATTCTGATCAACAGTAACTCTAGTTCAGTTTAGATGTACTGTTCTCCAGCAAAGTTGGCCATATCTTACTCTGGCTCAGGCCTTGGAAAGTCAAGCCATCCATTTTAATAACTAAACAAAAATGTTCATGGAATAAAACACAGAAGGGTTTGGGTTGGAAGAGATCTTACAAGATCACCTAGAGTTCCAGCTGTGGGCACAGTTATCTTCCACTAGACCAAGTTGCCCAAAGCCCCATCCAAACTATCATGACAATTAATTTCCTGGTACTTGCACACAAACCTACAGATATATCACAGAATGTGCTGAATTGATAATCTGCAGTTTTATGATCCGTCCCTATGGAACAAGTGAACCACAAGCCAAGTAAGCAAACACCCCTATCTTTCCTCACTAATGCACTTTAACAGTGTGCTGATAGGTGAGTTACCAAGGAGCTATACAACAGCTATGCTCTTTGCAAAACTGCCAAAAGAAGCCATTCATTAGCATCAGAAAGTGTGCTTATAATGTAGGCACTTATTATACTGAGACTAACACCATATACTGAAGTTAACTCTGGGGTCAATACCACAAAAGCTAAAGTTGTAAAAATGATTTCTGAAACTTGATTCATGCTCCCACACTTGTTTTTCTGTGGAGAGCAGTCCATGGCTGTCCCTTTAACTGATTTTTCTCCAATAGCCTTTCCTTGACATATAAAGACAGATGGAAAATTCTCCAACTCATAGCTTTTGTTCAGTTTAAGGATCTAAACTCTCCAGGTTTTCCTGATACTTACAACCACCCTTCTGCAAGCCTCAGTCGCTTCATCAGATTGGAAGTCCTACAAACATGCTGCTCCTGTGCCTGAGAAGATTACTCCCTTTAATTGCCAACTTACTCTTTCCCTGTTCACATATATTGTCAAGTTCTGTGGAACACAGCAGCCCTTTTCATTCTATATCCTCAAAAGTAATTACTGTATTAGGAACCTTTGGATGAGAGTATTTGCACAGTATACTTAGGAAGAAGGAAATTACCATCCACATTTTAAACCAGTCCAAGCGAGAAAACTTGTTTAGATTCCTCACCTTTCAGATGACATTTCAAACATACTTCATCCCATTATGTGGATCCTGTAACATGACAATCTTCAACTCCCACAGGTTTTTATACCCAATCACCTAATGTGGGATTTTTCCATTTAACAAGGTATCACTGGGCCCATGGCAAAAACGTGCAATGGGAGAAGGTGGCGGCAATCAAAGTGTTTCCTAGCAAACTTACCTGTTCTTGAAAAGCACTGGCTTGTTCTTCAAATCCAGCTGTCCTGAAATAATTCACAACATCTATAACAGCCCAGTCAGCAGGATCTGGAGGTCTCCCATTTTCTACTGAACTGCAACACACAAACCCAAACAAATAATCACTACTTGTCTGTAGAGTCCCTGCTGCTTCTTTGTAGACAACCCATGTATGTTCCCTTCTCTGTTCCTCCAGGAATAGTACCCCTCAACACACCTGCCACCACTCCAATAGAGAAGAATCACTGCTTTTCTGTTCCATTTCAAAGACCTGATACCAGGGACAAGTGACATACTCCTCCCTTCAGAAAAGAATATGGATATTCACATCAGCCAAAGGCAGTCAATCAGGAGCTTTGCCCATGAGTGCACTGCCTTTGCAGAACAGAGGCTACCTCTGTAGTTTGATTTCAGCTATCAAGCATTTACATAGAATTGCAGTATGCAGATTACTCTTCTCCAAGATGAGATTGTGCTATATTGTAACATGGGTTACAGTACTGGAAATTATCTTTAGCTCATAAAACAAGAAAATAGAGGCACCACTGATTGCATTAATTGCTCAATATAGAGAGTCCTCCAAAATTTCTTTTTGACTTACCTTTGGAGAAATCCTGGGACTTTCTGAACAACTAAGAATGTATGTGTTTAACACAATCAGAACAGATTCTTTCTATGATTGACCTTAAGCAATTACATTCCACAGTAGCAAGACCAACCAATCATTCATGTTGCTACTCTAACCCTCCATTTCTTATCCTCAGCTTGCCATCATATTATCTCAGATAACCTTTGTGTATCTGCAAACTCTTGGTGAAACATGTGATGAGCTTGATTGCCTGCCCTACAGCAGTGTAGTAGGATGAAGAACAAGATGTCATTCAGTAGAAAATAAATTTGGACAAGATGCTTCTCCAGCTAGACATCCCATGCTTACGGGTCAGATGTTTTTCACTGTCCTGCATGCTTAACCATAATGTTAATGAAGAAATTACAAAACCATACAGATAGAGTACCAGATGGAAAGTAAACTTAGATTATACTCCTCTGACAAAGTTCTTGTTCTGTCCTTCAGATTTTCATTTTCCAGCGTTCACCACCTCTGTTCCTTCTAGACTTGTATGTCTTTCAGCAAACTCAAGGGACAATTATTTTTTTAAAACCAGCCACGAAGAGATGAAAGTAGAATCACACAAGGTGCTTTAGATCACCATTTCTACAACATTTCTATTTCTATGACCACATGAACAAGGTGAGCATTCTCTCTTAATTCTTGAAACACACTTGTCAATATGACAACAAAATTCTGGCTCCAAAGACTCACGTTGCAGCCTCAATATCACACTGCATTTGTAGTTGACCTTTTAAAAGCAGTTTCTTGAAATTATCACAGAGTATATACATATTTCAGTGCAAGGAGCAAAGGCCAGAGGTTCTTGCTCTTGCTCATGAAGTAACAACTTTACGATTGGGATTGCAGAGAAAGGCAACACTCAGCAAAATTTTAAATAAGACGATCCAACTTTATCAGAGCTGCACCTGAAGTTTTTTGATTTTTTTTTTGGTGTTGTACCCATTCTGAGGCTTAAGAAGTAAAATGCTGTGAAAAGCACCATGCAAAACCTCTGTATATTTGTAGAACCAAGATCTGAAGAATTATATCTGGATTTCCCCCCCAACACAGATACTCGCAATGACACATCTTTAACTAAAAATTAAAAATAAACTAAACCCCAAAAAACTCAATATTAAAAAAAAAAAAGCTAAAAGAACAATTTAATTATTCCTGAACAGTAAATGAAAGACTCAATCTGTCAAAATACTTAACTGTATTTTACTTACTTCCCAAAGCATTTTCATTTCAAGTTGACTATGATCCCCCCCACAATGTATTTCAGGCCAAGAGCATTGGTTCTTCACACAGCTCTTCTTTTACTGCCAGGGAACGTAGTGCTTGGTCTAGTCCCATCCTAGGCCCAACTGCAACATCTTCAAGGGCTCCACCTTAGTCATTCCTAACCCCAGCAACAATGGCAAATTCCTACTTGGAATAGCATCATGTTGGACCTCAAGCAGAGTCCATTTCCACAGTTATAGCTGCAGAAAACTCACAGGCATGTGGTGTACTGTCAGGGGCTGGCTGGATTTTAAATCACCTACCCACACAGATGCTCATTTGGCTTCTAGAGAGCCTTCTCCTTGCCTTGCTGTTGCACATGGCTCTATTCCTTAGACAAGAAAAGGGAATATATATAAGAGCCACTGTTTAGCCATACACCAGTTTATGCCAGACATTCTGGATGCCCTGAAAACTTAAGAGAACTAGTATGTTAGGCTTTATAATCAGATACTAGATGTGCTAACAATGAACAAAGATTTGACTTGTCTTCTGGTTGCCACTGTCCCTGTACCTTTATTGCCATCATGTGGCCGAAGCAGTAAGGCCTGGGAAAAATATAACTGCGAAGAAACAGATTTTATCCAAGCTATTTATAACCTCTTCAAGGAAGTGCCAAATACTTCCTTAGTAGATAGGCACACATACATACTATATATTTTTCTTTAGAAACCACAGCTTATGCTCTGTTTAATTATAATCACAACCAGATTTAAAAAGCCACCATTGCAATTAGTAGTTGAGTCTTTATCACCTAAGCCTTGGGGGAAAAAGATTAAAGCTGTCCTTGTTCTCACTGCTTCCCTTCTCGCCTCTGCCATGGAGTCTCAGGTGCAGAAAACAGGTAACTGAAGGTGGCTTCTGAGAGGCATAATCTATGCTTAGTCACTTAACAGGGAAACACTTTTTACATCGGTGTGGTATTGCCAGACTCTTGAGTTAATGGGGAAAAATACAAATTTTATTGGCTACCAGCAGATCTTCTGATGCTGTATCATAATCATGCATTTCAACAGTATCCCAAAGAGACCATTACTATTATTATTATTATTGTTGTTGTTTACATTACTTGGTGCTGGGGAACCTAAGCATCATCACATTTTCAAGGACAACTCCTGGCAAAGGGATGTGAAAGACAAGAATGAGGTGCAGCTTCATAGAAGTGCTGCAGTCTGGCAGGACAGGTGACAAGCCCTCTCTAGTTCCTTTCTTAGCCTTACTTATCAACAGAGTATTTATAAGCCTAACAGAACTTAGCTGTTTTTCCCACACAAAACTTCACTTTTCAGACAGTAAGTTAGATTAGGACTGGTGATCCCAACTGAAGAACTGATGACCTTCAAAGATAAAGAAATGCATCTAGAACAGTTCCTATCCCTTAGCCTGCAGCCCACCACACTGAAGAAACCTGCAGAGCAGCGTACATCATGTCTTTCTTTCCCTTATTACCACCATAGGTTTGAAGAAGGAATCTGTTTAGGGCTTCTCCAGCAAATAGCATAAAATATCTGCTTTGAAGGGACACATGCTGCTTCTCAGCTTATAATGGCTGGACAGTCAGCAGGGAGATAAAAAGAATGAGAGGAGACACATACATGGGACACTTCTCCCCATCAGGCATTGGTTCTAGAAAGCACAGACACCTCAGGCACCATTTGCTGCTTTGACTTTTGCCTGTCCTTCCTCAGGAATTTCACCTCATCATCAATGCGGACGGTGAGAGGAGCTTTCCCCACAACAGCAAACAGGTGAATATGGGCAGAGTGTTGGTTGCTGTGCTACCACTCGCTTTGGTCTCCAGCTGAGATAAGAAAACAGTGGAAAAAGGAATACTACCAACTTACTAGCTTCCGCACTTCTCCATTGCTGTACTATCCTCCTGCATACCACTTTAAATCACTTCAGTGCCCTAGATTCTTTTATTTCAAAGTAGAAATGCAATAAAACTAATAGAGAACACAGATTGGTAGAAATAAGCAAAGATGGAGATCCCCACCCTTGCCATCCATATTAAGTCAATGGACAAATACAATCAAAATTCACATGCTATTTGCATAAAACAAACTTTAAGGAATCACTTACTTTTTGACGTCCAGAGAACCATTTTCCTTGTTTTCCATGTCAACAGTTAGCATGGAGAAGAGAGGTTTCCTCAGCAGCTACCAACAGGAAAAAAGCTGCGTTTAGTTACTAGTAGTATGAAAAGAACAACCGAACACAACAGAAACAAGTATTCCATAGAAATGCAACTGTTTCCATCTGAGAGCAAAGTGCTGTGGAAGACCACTTCCCTCAGAACCTTGGCAAAGCAGGTAATAACTAATGAATTCGGAAAAGTTTGCCTGTGCTTTGAACACAGGAAATCGCATCTTCCTTGATTTTCAGTCAGGAAGCATCACATACGATCCTTTTTTAAACTAATACAATCTTGACTACGCAGAGAAAGACCAGCCTGCAATATGCCTATAACCAGTAATAGGATACCAAGCATGCTCTCAGTGCCTTCAGTCACCCCGAGCAGAAGCACAACCCTACTGCTAGTGAGGCTTGGAAATCTACGCCCTTGTTTTACAAATGGGGATCTGAAACACCGATGAGATATGCGATTTCTACCCCAGTCACAAACCCGATGGCAAGGCGAGTCACTGAACGAGTCCAAAACTCCTGAGGCCTAATTGTGCACCTTCTCCACCAGCCCATCCTTCCTGTGCTTTGCACTGCTGCCTCCATGCACACTGAGCTCGGAAGGGGGAAGGACCGTACAAAGGACGCGGAAGGAAAGGAAAGCCAGCCCGCTGGTTGCTCCCACCGCCCCAAGGAAGGCACAGAAAGCAGCCCAGCCTCCTCCTTCTGCTCTCAAAGGCATTTCTATGTCGGGGAGCACCGTAACTACCCACAGGCTCGGGATGTTCCCGCTGTAGGTTAATGGACGCCGGCGGTACATCCGAGAGCTCGGGGAAGTACAGAACGGGGAAATCGCGCTCTTCAGCTAAAACTTTGCAAAAAACAAACGATAGCAATTAACGGCGCTGCTAACAAAAATAAAAGGAAAGGAAGGACCTTTTATGAGCCGATTACCAGCACCAGATAGCAGCACCAAACTGGCAGTAAGGATGCTCCTTCCACGCGGAGCCCGGAGCACTCGGCGCAGCCCAGGTGTGGGCGCGCTGACAGCCGCCGGCTCCGGGCCGGGACGGAGCCGCCGCGACCCCGCCCGCACCTGGGGGCTCCCAGCGGGCGCTGCGTGCACCATCTTACGAGCATCTCCGACAGGCAGCGTGGCACCACATTGTCATTATTTTTCGTGCGGGAGAGGGGGAAGCAAGACAGACGGACCTACCTACGGGCAACTATACCGAAGCATGGCTACGCGCTGCTCCGGCGCGGCGGAGCCCCGGCCGCCAGCCCCCCGCCGGCAGCGGGGCGCTCGGAGGCGGCTCCGTGTGGCAGCGGGCAGCGGCCCCGCCTGGCTCCCGGCCCGCGTGACGCCGCCGCCACACACGGCCCCCACCAACCGCCGCCCGCGTCATGGCGGACGTTTTAAAGGCGCCGCGCCTACCTGCTGGATGGGGCTGCCTGCCTCCCTGCCTGCCTGCCTCCCTCCCTCCGCGGGGCTCGGGTTCTCCCGCGGCCGCTTCCACCCTCCTACCCGCAAGGGTGTGCCGGGGAGTGTCAATGGAGAGCGTGGTGGAGATGGCAAACAACTCCGCGGATAGCTTTGGAAAAGAGCCTCGGGAAATAGAAGGGAAATAGGAGCAGGCAGGCTTTGCAAAATTAGAGAAGTTGCATCGAACTATTTCTGAAATGAGTTTGTCAGTACGTGAGTGGGCAGGTAGCGCTGGGCTGCCTCTCAAACCGGAAACCAGCCCTGGCACTGCAGCCCTGGCACCTTGGGGATGTGAGGCCGTGCTCCCCACTGCCCTGTACATCACACAGTGCTGTGCTGGGTTGCATGCGAGTCCCTGCAGGGTTTGCAGTGCAGTGATGTACAAAGGCCAGGTCTGGCCCACTGGGAGTAATGTTCCACCCACTGAGATTAACAAATTTTGGCAGTTTTCTCTTGCAATTACATCTTTGTTTTACTCTACTACACACTGCTTCTTTCTTCTCCCAAGTTTCCCCAAATTCAAGATGTTTCTAGCAGTATAGAAGTATTCCCACAGATGACACACCATCAGTGTGAGCACTGCTTACTAACACATCCTACCTTGCCCCACTAAGGCTTGGCAGACCCGCCTTGCACAATGCCCCACTGACTGTCTCACTGCTCCTAACAGCACCAATTTGGTATCAGTACAGGAATCATTTTGGTATCACCCCCAGTAGCAGCTGAGTGCACCATGTGTTTGCTGACAGGGATCCAAGCCCCAAAACAGCAAACCAGACACAGCACACCAATCACTTGAAAGGCACAACTGAGCTCATGGGCCTGTAGACATGGTCCCCCCTGAGCATTTCATTTTGCCTTAACCAAACAAATAACCAAAGCATACAAAAACTAGGCAAATAATGATAAGAGTGCTGAAAACTAACAGCAGTATGAGTTCTAGCTGCTTTAGATTTTAAACAAACACAGATAAACAAATCAAATAAAGTATTAAACATACCGCACCCTAAAGAAAACCCTCTTCATCTCAAATCCCAGTGCGTATGGTAAAATGTGGCATATTTGCATTGGACAAGTCACAGAAGGCAATTCTTTTTTGTCTCTTGAGAAATAAGCACTCTAAATGAGGTGATAACGAGTTTTCTGCATCAGCTGATTTCTGATTTTGGTAATGAACTGACATTTGAAGCTACAAATATAGACCAGCTCTTTACTTGTGCTCTCCTGTGTCTTCCATCATGTTTTCAATTAGTCTTTGGAGCATTCGGTACAAAGCATGCAGCATAAAGACCTTGAGCAGCAAAGAGAGGAAGTTTAAGAAAACAGGCTGCAGAAGAATTCAGTGCGGAATATGATCTGCAGCTCGCATTTTCACTCATTAGAGTAAGGTGATTTAATTAAAGCAAGATTATGTCTGGAGGGAAACAATGCAGGAAAGTGAATTAAAGGTTTTGTTTGCCTACTTGTGTCCTGCTTCTGGCAAAAACTGTGTCTAGGCCACGTGAGACTGGAGCAGGAGCAGTGCTGGCTGAGCCACGCCAGGAGTCAGCCCTGCCTGACTGAATTTCTGCCGCTTCTCAAATGTGGAAATCAGTGTGGATTATTGTACACAATGATCTTATCTTCTGGCTATAGGAGAAGATGTCAGTTTTTTTGCTGAAAGCCCAGCAGTGACAGCTGGGTATGCAGACAAACATCACACAGCTGGCATGGGACAGCACCAAACACTGACTCTCCCAGAGCTGAATGAGGGGTCCCTTCAGATCCTTCTTCTTCTTGTGTATAAACAGGACTAAACTCATTCATTGGGAAGGTTAGGTGAGAAAACAGCAAAGGAGTTTTGCGCTTCCAGCTGGAGGAAAGCCAGGAGTGCTAAATCAGCCTTACACAGAGCAGAATAGGTCACACACCTGTATAAAACACACATTTCTGTCAGTAAAATACGTGTCCTTTAGACTTACCAGCAAAAAACTGGGGACCAAGAACTCAGTGCTGCAGTGACCCAGTACTGGAGCAGCCCCTCTGCCAGCCCTGCCATTACTGCCCATGCATGGCCCTGCTAACTGCTGCTGGGATGGTGTCCATGGGGCTGCTGGGAGCTGAGGCCCCACCAACACTGCAAGGGCATTCAGGCTGGTCAGGCTGGTCACAGGGACACCGGCACCCTCTGCCAAGAGCCTGCAATGTGGCTTTAGGCAAAGACATCATAAGAAGTGAAGTGTGGGAAGGGTTGGGTCACTTTAAGCAATTCCTGTCACAGGTGTGAGAGTGGCACACAGGTTGATAGTGGCTGCTTGCAGCTCAAATTGAATTCATTTGTCACAATAACCTACTTACCTTCCGCCTTCCCTACGTGCTCTGAATACCCTGGGTTCACATTGCAATTACGCTTCTACCACATACCCATCACACCCATACAGCATTGTTGCTTCTTGTTGTCCTAGGATCTTGAAGTACCCCAGAGTCCTTTCCACAGTCACTGGCAAAAGCTGTGCATCCAGAAAAAGGAAAAATCTCCATTGCTGGCCCTGGTTGTACCTTTCCAACACTTCGTTCAATGAAAACTCTTTCCTCAGTTAAGAACAAGGTCTTTTCCGCTCCACCGTGCTTTCTGTTTTTCCTGAATGGAGCATCAGCATTTAACTTAATTCTCAGCACCAACTGCTGAATGCCTGTCCTCCTGTTCTGCCCTCCTCAGGCATGGAGGGATAGTTCCCAGCTCCTGTCTGCACACTGAGTTCCTGTGCTGGCCAGGAATGTCATCTAAAAGCCTGGTTGCTGTGTCTTCCTTACTGCCACTTCTGACCTGCCAGAGCTCTCTGCGTGGCCAAGCCTTTCCACATTGCTCTGAAGTTCTGCACAAAGTCCAAACAAAAGGCCAAAACTAGCACTGTCAACCCGGAGCAGGAAGAAAGGCAGAAATCCTGTGCCAAGAATTCAGCAGAGTAGTGTGTGCCAACCCAGCCCTTGCTTCTAACGCATGTAACTCCCCTGATGCATGCTGGAGGTGAGACCTCCATACTTTATTCTGATGGGGAGACCCTCAAAACTTTTGATTCTCTTTTATTGATGACTGACCATGAATTTCAGTGGGAACAAAGCTGAGCAGGAGTCATTAAAAATGTCATTTTCATAGCTTCTTAACATCAGAAAAGAAAAATACAATAGGTAGAGGAAGGCTCAGAGCATTACTTTCCATCACGTAGCCCTCTTTTCCTGTTTTACACTGCATTTCTCGCTGTTGTAAGCTGCTGCACTTCCAGAGATGGACAAGGACTACCAGCAGTTTGTGCTTTCCAGTGTCTCATGCGTGCACTGGCTGCACCCTGCGGGTTGCACAGCTGATTTCTCCTAAGGGAACTGTGCTCCCACAGCCCATGCATGTGACACAGCATGCGTGATGCAGTGTGAGTAAAAAGCACACTCATTCATCAACTAATGGCTTTTTAACTCCATAAGTACAGTTTAGGGACACATTCCCCAAATACCCTGTATTACTACGTCAGGAAATTTTTATACTGTAAACAGTATTCAGTCTTCATTGTAAACATATAAATCTCCAACAAGATGTCTGGAACTGCACCTTCTTCACACAAGGATACAAAAGAAATCTCACAACAGTGCAAGGCCAGTAGCACCTTTCTGATTGTGTTTCCTGTGGTTTGCAAAGCTGAATCACTTAAGCAAATGTCCCTGCACGTGAATTATATCCACTTCACTTAGAATTTCCTGCCCTACTTGTTTTGTCGTGTTCCTTCTTATTCTGGTAACTGCTCTATATTTAACAAAGCTACTATCTGGACACAAGTACTTGCTAATTAAGCATGTACTTCATATCAATAAATCACTGTATAAAACACAACCCCATGCCACATAATTGCCTGGCAAGTGATAATGTAGCAAGCGGCTTTTAGAAATTATTCCTTTGAAAGACCAGCACTATAAAATCCAGCTTAATAAAGATACTTTAGATAAGGGTAGCTCAGGTAACTTGGTGAAATAGTGCTTATGTCTACAGGAAATCTGAATGGTCGCAGTTTGGTTATATGAAATGAGGCAAATGAAAAGAACACCACACTTCTGAACATAAGAATGGAAAAAAAAAATCAGTTGTAGGTAATAACACAAGCAGAAATCTAAACTGTATTTTAAATACTATGTGAAGAAATCAGCACTAGACTAGGAATCTGATGGCTTGCTTGCTCACCACTTACTGGGAGGGTTTGTTTTTTTTTTTTGCCTCAGTGGCAAAAAGCCCATCTATGATTGGGAAACCACCAAAAGCCAAATGCTGGGTGCCTTGCAGTCCCAGTGCCCTGCTTGGCAATCGGTGGTGACAGGGCAATTTGCATACCTGCAGGTCCATGCAGGTCTCCCAGAACACTGCTCAAAGAAGAGGCCCACACTCATTTCAAAGAAACATCCATCACAGACACACAGATAACAAGCTGGAAAATATTTTCTGCAGAGACAACCCCAAACACCTCCTCCATTTCTAAAAATCCTAACTTATTTTTCCAAATTCTTATTGTTTTTCCAGCAGGTAAGACTGGCACCCAGCTTCTCCAGCAGCCAACTGACAGTAGCAATCAAGTGTGCCAGTGCAGCTGTGCTGAGCCTTCCTCTGTTTTCAACATGGGTCCATTAACAGCTGCTCTACAGCTGTTGATGTAATGAAGGCTTCTGCTGAATCCTGCACAGGCTGAGGTGTCATTAATTTTTCCTTAAAAGCACCAAAGTAATATTCATATATCACCTTCTCATCAAAAGGTTTTCTTAGAAGCTGAAGGCAGTAAGATTCAGGAC